ATATATATATATATATATATATATATATAATAGCTGGCCACTCGTATTCGATGATACCCGTCTACCATGGCGTCTAGCCAATCTCTATTGCAGACTCTCGCTCAGGCACATTTGTGTTTATCCAACACCCACAGAGCCAACCTGTGGCTTATACTGTAACTATGATGAGCAGACCTTAGTTACAGTTTCTGGGAGAGAGCGTGTTATCTGGAATGATCAACAATCTGAACAACACGAGCACACTTTGACCCTTGTGACTTCGTGCTAGCACAGCTTTCGACGACCCCAAGTGTTCCGTCTACCCAGTTTCACTCCCGTGCTATAGTTTTTAGGCACTTCCCCACAGTGCCGCACGCTGGATTCGCGCCTCCCCCTCCAGACCAATAACATCCAGAAGTCTTCTTTCTGACAAATCGAGCATGGTGAGATTCGAACCCGGGTCTCATGATCAGAAAGGAAACGCTCTAATACTCTTATACTCGGTAGTGGATGCGCACTGCTGATGAGTCCCAAATATAGGACGAAACGGCCGTCCAGTGCTTCCTGCATTCTGTAGAGGTTTCTATCAGACTCGATGAATTAATTAAATATCATTATCAAATCCTCCTACTAATTACTATCTGTGTTTATCTTCGCTTGAACCGGCTTCTAATGCTCCAGTTGGTAGCGGCTTGGTGAGAGTAGTCGTGGCTCCCGGGGGCACAGTCTTATGGTCACAGAGAACTCAGTTGAGTTCCGCCACGGAATATGTGAGCGAGCGGCACTTAGTTGAGTCTGATTTGGAATCTCTTCGTCACCGAGGCCCATTTGGAACAGTTGGTATGGTGTTCGCTTGACAACCCAACTGTCCGGGTTCGATACTCGGTAGTGGATGCACACTGCTGATGAGTCCCAAATATAGGACGAAACGGCCGTCCAGTGCATTCTGTAAAGGTTTCTATCAGACTCGATGAATTAATTAAATATATATATATATATATAATAAAAAGGTTTAAACACTAATGTTCCATGGTCATAATATATAGATAGATAGATAGATAGATAAATGTGACAATGTCATAATATAGATAGATAGATGTGACAAAACCAGACTTAATGTCTATTAACAGGACAAGAATTTAATCTTTCATAGTAATCTTCAGCATAGTTATTATCTTAAAATGTTCCTGAAAGGAAAGGCCTACTTATACCGGAAACAAAATGCCAGCACTTTCTGTCATTCATTTTATCAATAATTATTAGCATCATACTACTGAATATAATGATGCCGTCTTATTCAAATCATAAAGTACACTGCGCCTTCGTTGATGAAATTCAAATGCATATCAGAATCTGAAAGCACATGAATTTGTATCTCCTTGTTTCTTTTTACAAAGTACAGGCCAAACGACAATAATTCATAAAATCCAATCTTTGACCGGAAAAACGTTTCGATAATTCAAATGGCCATCCTTGCTTCATTCCTGTGCGATCCCATCCCTCTCCTTGTGTTACTCTCATCTGTTTGAAACAACTGGTCTTCAAAATGTACCTGTCCTCAGAGACATACGGGCACCTTGACATTCATTTTATAACAAAAGATTACAGCGAAAATCCAAAGCTGTCGAAAAGAAGTTAACCTCAGCGAGTCCAGAGGTCAAATATTGCATCTCTTAAACTCAAAAAGACACTCGATACGGCGTATATCATTGCCAGGCCATTTGAAGACGAGAGGCGGAGAAAAGGAAGAATAACATTAAATAAAAAAGGTTTTATAGTTTATCTGTTGTTCACATGTGAAACCTTCATTTATCATCTTCCTGGAAAGGATGATATTTTCATGAAAAGAATAAAAGTTACGTTTACATACATACATTGTAATATAAACAATTCCGTATTGTATTACGTGTGCGAAGAAGAAAAATATTCGAAGTATAATGCAAGCAGATTAATCATATTTTTAAATGCCATGTCCTTTTAGAACGTAGATTATCGTGTCTCTCTACGGACTCCTTTTTTCTTTATTATCAGTGAATGTCTATGACTTCTTGGAAAAGATAATTGAGTGAATTTCCAGTTGACTTCTCCATAGATTTCTTTTCTATATTATTTATTAATTGCCATGACTTTTTGGGAAAGATAATAAAATGGTTTCCTGTTGCCTTCTCACTGTTTCGAATTCAGAGTTGTCCTTCTCTCAGATTAGATACAAACCGACATAAATTGCCTTTCTATTTAATCCATAGCTGCGGGTGGAGAGAAGAGATGCTGTTCCCAAAGACATTGCTTTAAAAATGATTCGGTCGTAACTTAAATTCTTCTATTTCGATTTTCGCGTCGATGTTACGCAGCATGCGCATCAATCGCTGGTAAAGTGTTTTGCTGCAGATTCGTTACATCTTTATTTTTAAAGTTAAAACCACTTTGGTAATTTGCGTTTCATTAATTAATGGTATTTTTTTGGTATTAAAAACAGTCCATGAGTCAAGCGGTTTGCAATATAACCAATAGCCTACTGAGAATTAGATTTTAATCTCGTCAATATAAAATAAACATCTGAGCTTAAAGAAAAGAACAAAAAATGATAAAAGAACAAAATATCCTCTCTTGTAGTCGATGTACTTTAGTACTCTTTTCTTTGTTTCTAATTATTTTTCTGACACTTAATACTTTGCTTAGCTTTTGAAAGGCATCTTTCACCATCCCAATGGACCTTCAGATTTCACTTCACGTTCTCTGTTAAAACACTTCCCAAATATTCAAACTGTTGTACTTGTTTGATTTTGGTATCTCCAATATGTAATTTGCATATTGGGCTAGTAAACATAAGTCAGTGAATTCTGGACAATCTCCTCGCAGATGAAGAAGAAACTTGAAGTAACAGCAAAATATGGTTCTACAGAAGGTTGGTGAGAATACCATTAACCGAACCTGTGGCCAACGACGAAGTTTTAAAGAAAATGGAAACAAAAAGGACATATGTTTAACACCAGGAAGATGCGGTTGAAATTTCTAGGGCACTTGATGAGAAAAGAGTGCTTGGAAAATTTGATACTCAGACAACAGATTGAAAACTTGCCTAGCGAACTTGATGGCGGAACAAGGTTTAAGAGCTACAAAGGACATGAAATTGTGGAGAGTCACGATCACTCATGTCTTGAAATGACACGGCACATGGAAAAGAAGATAATGGATAAATAGAGAGTCAATGTTTAATGCGTACTTATTTTTCTGTTTTTTTTTTTTTTTGTTGTTATACTAGTTTTCCCCTTTTCCGATAAAAATAACTTATATTCTTTTTTACGTATTGTGAAATTTAATTCCCAGCATGCACTAGTAAAGTTTGCTTACCTAGTCACTGTTAACTACTGTCACCTATAAATTACTCCCATTGTGAAGCTGTATTCTTCGTGAGATGAAGATGCCATTGCTGGAAATTCTTGCAATTTCTTTCCCAGAATACCTTTCAGTAATGTAGTCAAGTGTAGCTGAATGTCGAGTTTGGCAGCAAAACTATGAATTTTGAAAAATAACAATGGACTAAATGTAGTGAATAAAATGGATGGATTATTTAAATTTTATATGGATTTCTTAGCCAGGATTCTCATAACTCTTTCAGTACTTCCAAAGATTTTTTGTGTTTTTGTTTGCCCATATTTGGCATCATCGTGCACATCTCCTTCTTCCTTGAAGTATCTGTACTATAAAAAACATTCAATTTCTTCATAGCATGTACACCATCTTTTAAATAAAACTAACGTTTTACTAGAATTGTTATCAGTCTTTGCACAAAAATTGATGCTAATCCTCTTCTACAGATTCCTTTTATTCATTTACCGCCAACAGCATAAGATGAAAACATAAATCTTCCTCTGCTGCTCAGTAACAAAGACCCACAAATATTTGTCTGACTCATTAACCAGTGACACTGCAATCATTTCTGGAATTAAAGTGTCACACAACGTACTAACTTGTTTATCGTTGCCTGTTCGCATTTCTTTATACATTAATCGATGTAATTTTATAATCTAATTAGCTACCTGGCTAGATTTTATTTAATAATGTTGCCCTAATTTGGGGGTGACCAGTGAGAACGAACTCACAACTCAAAACCCAAGGCATTTTTAACGAAACATATATTTTAGTGGGATTGTACATTTAATAAATTCTGGTCAAAATACTAAAATTTTATATAAATCGTATTATCGGAAACATCTTAGAGTGGCCCTATTTATTAAACATCTCTCTCCTACTGTCAACCTCACCTTATTGAATAGTGGAAATGAAGTGTTAAAAAATTTTTAAAAAATAGAAAAACGCTCACGCGAATTACCACCGAGCTCAACACACGAAGATAGGGAATAAACGCTCCTATCTAAAACAACAGAAAGATAAAATACAACTTGAACATGAGGAAACACTAAGAACATCAAAAACAAAATTGAAAATTGCTAAAGAAGTGGCCTAAAGTGCTTGGAACAATAAAAATTATGGAAAATTTCTGTATTCCCTTACTTCTACAAAACAGAAAAAATTAAGGAGGCTGGAAAAATATCCCGAACAAGGATAGTAAAGAAAAAGAAAAGAAAAAGACAACCCTTACCTAGGCAATAAATTAAAGTGCTCAACGCCTAGACTATCTAGACAAAAAATACTTCACAACATCAACACTCAACGAAGGGCAGTTCGAATCACTACTCAAGTTTCATGCTCTTGCGATCTTCAGGCCACCAGAACGACTATATATATATATATATATATATATATATATATATATATATATGTGGGGGGTACTTGGACGCGGTTGGTTGCAACGAAGAATAGATAAGATGGATAATTAACAAAGATAATTTACACCTAACATAACTCAAAAACGCAATTAAAACGAACAGATCTTTGTAAATAAAGCGTCCTATATTTAAAAGAAAGACAAAAAAAAAACAAAAAAACAAATCGAGCATAAAAAGGTGAAGCGACAAATAAAATGTTCAACGCTCGGGGTTTCGAAGACACAGATGCACTCGTAAAGGGTAAGATGAATCATAGATAGATAGATAGATAGATAGATAGATAGATAGATAGATAGATAGATAGTGTGAGATAGCAAGCTAGCAAGATAAATAGTTCATGAAAAATGTAAAATACATATTTTTCTTCAGACTTTTGCCCTGATATCTATGAACAAATATTTTAATGGATATTTTGGCATTTTCTGATAAATTTTCTCTCAAGTCAATATCATTATCAGGGTCAGAATTATTTTTTCGATTTCGCATTTTTATTTCTCCTTCTGCAGACAACAAAATCATATTGAGTATCAAATGCACAAACAACACAATTTTCAAGTTGACCTCTCTCAATTTAAAGAGGAAAAAGCTAAAAACATAGTAATAAAATTTTAAAAGTTTCCTGGGATTAATTTAAATTTTTTGCTTTGGGTATTATATACATATATATTTGTTTTTAGTCTGAATTTTTAAGATTTTTAATTCTTTACTATAGTGACATACAATCACTTTTTCAAATTAAACAGCTTTTTATTTTAAGCCTTTTTTTTTTTAATTTCTCACCTTGTAAAATAGTTCTGATTCTCGCAGAAGACAGTCAGCCGGTTCCCTTGAGTGATTTCATCTTCATTCTGAGACAAATCTCTAATCAAAACAATATTGGAATTGAGTCATTACTCTGAAAGAAAATAAAATAAAAATCAGAAAGAAGAGAAATAAAGAAGTTCGGTGTTGTTGTGATGATTGTGGCTTTTAATGCTTTTACTTCTGATGATGGTGGTGGTGGTTTTGGCAAATAAACGCTGTTTCTGCTTCTCCATCAAAAATGGCGATAATTTTTGTTAAGACACTCAAGCATTAAATGTCATAGGAGCAGAAAAAAACAGTTTGGCGAGAGCAAGAAAAAATTGGTTGAAAAAAAAAACTTTGGGAAGAGAAAATTGAAAAAAAAAAAAAACAAAGAAGAAAATGGAACTCAGGGAAGAAGATGATCAGAAAATGGATGTCGTCAAAATTGAAATGCAATCACCAGAAAGAAATGGGAATAGAATAAAAGATGAAAAGAAAGGGAAAAAGAAGATGGCTGCTAACAAGTGGACAGAGAGAAATAAAAGCAGATGGGGAGGTCTTCTGCAGCACGATATTGAAAAAAGAATGTCTCGCACACAGTTCCCAAGTCTAATGAAGTTAGTGCTCACTGAATACCTCGCTACCGTGGCTTTGGTCAAATTAGTAAATAGTGAAAAACACAACACACACACACACACACACACACATATATATATATATATATATATATATATATATATATATATATATATATATATATATGTTTGTGTGTGTGATAGTAATTATCAATAAAGATGCAGAATATATGGGAAATAAACGTACTAAATTGCTCAATATCCATAAGTACAGGACAGAAACAAAGAAAACTGCACAGCGTTTTACCGGCGAAATAATATTTACCACAAAGATCAACTGTTCATATATATATATATATATATATATATATATATATATATATATATATATCGGAAATAATTCTCCAACTGTGAGCTAGATGCGTGACATATCATGGCGTAGCCTCATGTCTCTCCATGTCAATTAACTTTTAAAAATCAAAAAACTGTGAAGCCGGTAAAGGTTACTCTAAATAAATATAGTTCATGACTTCATTTTCAACTTTTTTTCTAAATTTTATCCCCGTGCGGTATATATTAAATAACCTTACTTTCTGATATATATATATATATATATATATATATATATATATATATTTTATATATATAGGGTTTTAAAGTTCGTGTGCACTTTAAAGTTATAATTTTTAAAGTGCACACGAACTTTATGGACACCCTGTATGTATATATATATATATATATATATATATATATATATATATATATATTACAAAGAGGATAGAATCCAGGTAGAACTCAATGTCCAGGACAGAGTAAGAATATAATATAATGCCTCAAACACTATTATTCCATGGTTATAATTTATTATAGTGGAATCGTAATCACGACCCAATTAATTAGACTTGTAGGTCTGATGAATTGGATCGTGATTACGATTCCAATATAATAAACTATAACCTTGAAATATTAGTGTTTTATATATTATATATATATATATATATATATATATATATATATATATATATATATATATATATATATATATATATGTATATATATTACACTTCAAACGTTATTTTAATTGTTATCCGTATTTGAGTAGATGCTACGTTTATTTTAAACAACATTTATTTCGTCTAACGGAGAACTACGTAATCGAGAAAATATACCCTCTGGCAGGATTCGAACCTCTGTCCACCTTTGCAGGAGAAACCACCGGTGTGTTTTTACCGCTCGGATAAGAAGAGTTTCATAATAAAGCAATGTTTTATTTTGCCCTTCATGCTCACTCTACGTTTAGATTATTTATCCAATTTCGTATCTGAAAGGTAAACAATGCAAATACTAAAGAATTAATGGTTTTTATTTTTTAATCCAACATATTTTTCTTACTTCAAACGTTATTTTCTATGGATACCCGTATCTGAGTAGACGTTCCGTTTATCTTAATAATTACTGTTTAAAATGGATGGCTACGCTGATCTAAGTTGTTTTTTCACAGTTGAGATTGACACTTGTTGCTGTCGAGAGGAATTTTCAACTGCCAAATCTGAAGCATTTTTCCTTCTATTATTTTTTTGCTTTCAAAAACAAAGTGCTTATCTTTAGCAGCAGTTCTTACTTTTTATGTTTCAGCTCTTTTGCGCCAGTTTCTAACTGCCTTTGTAACAAATTTTTCACCCTATGTCTCGAAATTCTAAACTTCTTGGCTATTTGCGTTTGAGAGTAGCTTTCATTAAATAAAATTTCAATTTCACTTTCAATTTCAATTTCTGCCTTTACCTCAATAGTTGGCTGCTTTATTTTGGCATTTTGTGCACATTAGTAAAATTTAAAATAAAAAATAAATACATAAATAAATAAATTATGGAAATACTGCCGTAATCTTTTCCCCCTTCAAACAAAGACAGCTATATATGTCTGTTTACAACATTAGTCAGTAGGGACTTAACATTTAGAGCCTGTATTCACATTGAACTTAGTTGAAACTTTTGGTAATCTCAAAATGTCTACTGAGGGTTTAATACTGAAAACAAAATATAATGTTTCTCATACAAAATATTTGTAGCAGAAAAACACAATTTACACATAGAGATAACAAATTAAAGCCAAATTTATTCAATTATTAGAAAATATATATCTTTAATGACGCACCAATTTTAGTCTAGATAAGTCACACACATGCCGCACTCTACTCAAAAAAACTTTTGAAAACAAACACAAATATACCAGAGTGCTGGCCATTATCGACGCGACTCTTGCTTGCCACAGATGTCTAAAACTACGTCTGCGACTTTTAGGCCATAAGAAAAGAGGGAGAAAAAACAGAGAGTTCACACACGTACGCTAACCATAGAGGCTAACCGGAGCACGGCTGATTGCCCGTCCGACCATTAAGCTGTGAAAACGACCGCCTGTGATCACAGAAAGATAACAGACTCAATTATCAACGCGACAAGCCCAAACTGATAGACAAGCAGTCAGCCGGCTTAAGCATACTCCTTTTTCACGCTTTCATTTCTCACCTCATACAGCGTACATTCGAACGCTGCGCTATACAACTTACCAGAGATGTTTTCATATCTTGTAAATGAAAATAAATCTTTGGTCATTTCTCCAAACCAGTGTCTAATTCGTTTCTTTACTCCAACCAACTTCCAACTCGGATCACATTCATAATTTAGCAAAAAGTATTGTAAACAGACAAACCTAAATTTGAACTTTTCGGTATAAAGAGTACCATAAGGAAATAAAATAATAAAAGCAAATATAGAGTTGGCACTGAAATATTATCGCCTACTTAAAAAAAATCTCCATTTAAGATGTTTTTAAAGAAATGCAAGGTAGCTCTAAAATTTTCCCGGTAATAAATATATATATATATATATATATATATATATATATATATATATATATATATATATATATAATGGAATCTCTTGTCGGTTTCGACGTATGAGGTTCTGACAGCTTAATTGACTCAGTTATGAAATTTTGTGCGATAATCTTAAGTGGCATTTAAGACCCGCTAGTGATTTACAAAGGAGGCCGCACATGGAGCAAGAGTGAGGATTGTAGGATGTGATCACTGTTAGATTGGCTGACCTTTTAGATCTTGCTCGCGCTTCCTGAAGATGATTCAGACAAGCAGATTGAAAACTGCTGATTCCACTAAAACACGTTGATCTCTATTCTAGCCGCTCCAAGGCTAAGCGCTCATGGGTGTTATGTAGTATATTGACAGCTGGCAAGTTGCTCTTCAGCTTGTCTTTGTATCTTATATACTTATTAAATTCATTGTATGGCAAAACTGCTGTTTGCTCAAAGGAACGGCTAAATTAAAAGAGTTCTCAATACAATTGTGAAAAACAAAATATAGGACAATTTAAGAGTGTTTTATTGTTGCATATTCTTCTTATATGTTTTATTAATTTTATTTTCAGTAGAAAAATAGATAAAAAAAAGGAATCCTCTATCAATTACTACTTGGGGTAATTTACATTAACAACTCAGTATCCACCACGTTACAGAACTATGCTTAAATTCATGAAGTCTGGGTACCAAATAAGAAAAAAGTTCATGAGAACGATTACCATGAAAATATTCATAGCAAAGGCTCGGGGAAGCTACGTTACAGAGGGGGGGGATTGATTTCGGCCGATATGTCATTCAAACATAAATGACAACCACCACAAACAAATTATATAGAAAAAAACAAATAAAGTATGGGAAAATACAGATGAGACATTAAACCGCATAATGAAGGTAACACTTTGATCCTCGGCAGAGCACACAGATAATCTGATCCCAGGTAAAGGTACCGATCTTTATGAAAATAATCTTATCATTTATAAGTGTTGTGGGGCTCTCCCCTTTTTACATAAGATGGACTCGTCTAAAGAATACTTATACTGACAGAGAGAATACCTGCTGTTGAGATACGTTGAGACAGGTTGAGAGATACGGAGTTATACAAGAGTCCAGAGAGAGAGAGAGAGAGAGAGAGAGAGAGAGAAAGAGAGAGAGAGAAAGAGAGAGAGAGAAAGAGAGAGAGAGAGAGAGATATTACGGCTGTACTTACAGAGACTTGTACATATACTTTCTACTAACCCGCATTCCTGGACTACTAATCTTCACTTCAAGTTTTTATTCTTACGTTAATACACTTACTTTTCTATCTCAATTTCTGCCGTTGTTTATTTATTTGTGCAGGATTCCATTCCCGGAATCCACAACAATAAGTGTAATATAAGGGAAGGAAACTGAAAGAAACTGGTATGAGCACCACTCAGACCCGGTTACGGAGATAGGACCTGTTACAATTCTATGGGACTACACAATACACACTGACAGAACAACCAAAGCCAACCACCCAGACATTACTAGAGACCACAAACAAAAAAGTGTCTCCTTATTGATATGCCAGTCTCTGCAGACTGCAATGTATCTTTGAAGATATTCAAAAAGCTGTCAAAATACAAGGACCTTGAAATAGAAATCTCGAAAATGTGGCATATGGGAACATCAACAATCCCTGTTGTAGTTGGAGTCGTAGGATTGGTTGGAAAAGACTGCAGTAGGGAGTATTGAAGGGATTTCTGGAAGTTCATTCCTCAAAGAGATACAAAAAATTGTTCTGACAAGTACAGCCCACACTTTACGAAGGGCTTTATCTATGTAATTTTTTTTTTATCAGTGGAAAGTATCATGATGTCATTTCTAGCCTTAGGTCCTTGGGCGGGACCCGGAAAGAAATGTGTAAACTCCAGAAATCAAAGGAAATGAAAATAATAATAATAATAAATGCCCGATTTTAAATCAGAAGCTGTTCTCATATCTTCTGTTCTTAATCTTAACATGTACAACCTTGTGCAAATTAATTGAAAGAAAACGAATAATTACGTTATTATTATTTTTTCCAAGGAAACATGACCCAATGCACGTTATTGCTTCATATGTCCATTCCACAAAGTCTTTTCTTGCAGATTGACTACAGATTCTTGACTGGATTTAAATCAAGAGAGTTTCCGAGCCAGTTCATATTACTTTGATTTGCTCACTGGTAAGGATAGCCAGTGTGTTCGCGCAGCATTACAATTTTCGTACGCTTCCTTGGAGTGACGTCCATCACAGACAATGGCCTTAGGACAACAGTCGAGACCATATCTGACGGATGACGTAATATTTTTCAAGGTCAAACAAATTTCATCATACACTCCCAAAATCAGTTTATATTACTGCACACCACTGAAAATAACCTAATCTGAGGAAAAAATAGAAATCAATTACACCTTGTCACTCCAGTGGGTGTAAAACTGACTGTATGGTGAAAGAAAGGAATCTAAAGCGGTTGTTTCAATTAATTTACACAAGGGTGTATATATTTTGTCTTGTTGAATTAAGATGAGCTACAGTAAATATCCCGTTCAGTACAATATATTTGATTGTAATTTATTAACACACAGTGCATATCTGTTTATGAGCAGGAATAGCAGAGGGTCATTATGGCCGCGTATCGAGAGTTTTTCATTTTTAAATTTGACGAATGACGCAACCAAAATGACATTGCCGTCACATCTAGATACTTCAGAACATCCTTACTCGGAGACCGTCTAAAAGAATTGATGACATAAAGGTATTTCTAACTGGGCTCCATCTATATTGCAAGGGTATGAGCCGTTTTTATCACAACATGCCACCAAATCGCGTACATTTGGTGTTGATACATGTTCCTGTGAATACCCTATCAAATTAGGTGTCATATTGCGTTTCGTATATTTGTACCCCAGCATAAGCTTTTTGTGTGTGTGTGTGTGTGTGTGTGTGTGTGTGTGTGTGTGTGTGTGTGTGTGTGTTACTCTCTTAGTCGTAATGAAGATGATATTTATTACCACTGTTGATGATAATGAAGTCTTTGCTGAAGATTGGAGCTCTCTATTTCGTAACACTTTTCGATAACTATTTTATACAACAGGGAAAATGCGCGTGCGAATATGTTATCTTTTGGACGGACATATGCGAAGAAGAACAAAAACAGCGACTGAAAAACTGGAAGACAATGATGACGGTTCGGTGTCGTCTGCTTTATTGAATTAAATGCTAGTTGCATCTCCACTGTGCGTGACAAACGCTGATTTAACAAAAGAACGCAAATAGTGAAGAGCTTCTTGGATTGGTCCACTGCAGACATGCAACAAGACTTTCTTTCTCTTTCTTTTTCTCTGTCTTACTCTTAGTACCTCTTTCTTTCTCTTTTTCTTTCTCACTGTTTCTGTCTTTTACTCTATATCACTACCTTTCTCTCATTCGATATTTTGCATGTGATTAGACATAATGATAAAAAGGTATTTGAAAGTGATGTAAAAACCGAAAGTGCATTACATATGTTTCGTTTATGAAGGATAACATTTCTGCCTTTGTCCTCTCATTAAGAGAGATAAAGAAGTCGTTAGATCCCTCATAAGTTAACCTATATATGGAAACGTAGAACATGTACACGGCATTCCATATAACTGAGAACAAATTATAAAGTTAAAAAGAAGAAATAGATTAAGTTGAGTCATAAATGATTTCCGTTTTGGGGAATGAATTGTAATGATGAATATATTGTAGTGGTTCTACAGAAGGATGCTAAGGATATCATGGATCGTGCATGTGAGCAACGATGAGGTCTTAGTGAAGATGCAAACAAGGAGGAAGCATATACTTAACATAAGGAAGAGGCAGATGAAATTTCTAGGACACGTCATGAGAAAGGAGGGCCTGGAGAATCTGATACTCACAGGTCGAATAGAGGAAAAGAGAGACAAGGGAAATCAACACATGACATACATGGCGGGCTTAAGCAAGTGGATGGCAGAATGTGGTCTGAGGGAGTTGGCAGAGGCACGAAACATTCAGAGCCACAAGGGATAGGAGGAAGTGGAGAGCCAGGATCACCTACGTCCTGAAAGGATATGGCACATAAAAAGAAAAAGAAAGATATGTATATTTGTCCTTTGACAATGATAAAAAATAATAGTAAAATGAAGAAATATATGGGAAGTGGCAGAGGGACGAAACTTATTGAGAGCTACAAGGGATTGGAGAAAGTGGAGAGCCATGATCGCCTACGTCCTGAAAGGATATGGCACATAAAAAAAGAAGTATTAAAAATAAAATATATAAACAAAAAAAGGATTCAAATTAAAATAAAGCTTTTGCGCTTTCCTTTAAAACCTTTATCTCCTCCTTTCTCTCTCTCTCTCTCTCTCTCTCTCTCTCTCTCGCTCTCTCTCTCCGTCTCTTTATATACTTTTATCTGAACTAACGAGAAAGCAACCCTCAAAAAGAAAGAGGAAAAAGAAATGACTAAGCTCGTCCGGAAAACGCCTGAATTTTGCGGGACACAAACCTACTAATTTGTAACTGAAAACTAACAAAAATCAGAGAGTCTCCACCCGTAACTTCCGTTATAAAAAAAAAAAAGGGAACGCCGGGAAATAAAATAATATTGGCCAATCAAAAGAATTAATACAAAGACACTTTTGATGTTAGCCAAAACCAAGTTTTGGCCCAGAGTTTCGGGACCTGGTCAAAAGGATATAAGCTCGCACCTCTAAGTATAAAGTGAAGGCAGTGAAAGTGAGAGAAAAGACTGAGTATAGGGAGGATTGAGGAAAGGACAAAAGATGAACGGGATTTATGAAAATAAAAGATGGCCATTGACATAGCATTTAAATTTTTGAAGGTTGTAGTTATCAGGGAAGCAAGTAAACGGAAGTGAGTTCCACAAGCGGGAAGTGCGAGAAAAGAAACTCTTGGAGTAGAAATGGTGGTTGTATTTAGCTATTTCAACCGTAAACGGGTTAGGCCTAGATGCCAGTCTAATAGCACGCTTAAATACCATCAGTCGGTGCACCAAGGAAAAAAAAAGAGGTGTGTGTGTGTGGGGGGGTCGTCAGAGCAGTTGCCATGAAAATATTTGTAGAAAAGGCACAGGAAGCCACGTCACGTAAGCGAGAAAGTAACTGAAGTCGAAATGATAAGTTGGGATCGATTACATTACAGATCCTTCTTTAGATTTATACATCATTTTGTAAATCGACATATAATATCATCCTGTTTGCATATCGAAATATGAGATTTATACGTACTGTTCTTATATCATTAAATATTTGTACATCTTGATATTCATGTAATGATTGTATATCTGGATATGAACTTCAATTGTATCACTATTTGATACGCGTGCGTTTCGATCATATACCTGTACTTGATATTATGTGTTGATCGTGACCCGATATGTGTTATATACCCTGATGGTGTGTCTGTAAATGATATTGATTCAACCTGTTCCAATAACTGTATATGATAATCGCAAATTCAGGTCGTGCAGACAAGCAGCCTAAATAAACATGCATACATATGTATTTAGAGCAATTCGTCGACGGGTGAAGTTGGAATAATGGCCATGCTACCTCTTCCTTCCTTTCCACTCAAGCCTTCTTTTTGACTCCTCCCTCTCTATCATCTATCTTTTCACACCTCTGTATGGGTGCTGATAAATGAGTTCCATTGTGGCTAGAACCACCCATAAATCTACAGCCTGCGAGACCCTTTGATGAATGGACTAAACTACGTCTATAGTACTGTATAGGCTAACAGATCGCCTAGTTGGAAACAATGAGTCAATTTCGTACGGGCTCCAAGCCCCAACACAGACCTTTTCTTTGATCGTGTGACCTCAACTGATCAACTGTAGCCACTGTCATCGCCATGAAGAACCTGTCACTCTTTCACTCCCGGCCGTATATTGCTACATCGGCCATCGCAGAGGGCGGAGACCCTTGGATACCCTCACGTCCGACCAGTCTGACAAAAACCATCGTAAAATAGTCTCCCATCCCCCAACAAGTCATTTAAATAACAAATGCAAAATAATCGTAAAACCGGAAAGGAAAAAAAAAAAGAAGGAAAATCGTAAAATCGAAGGAAAAAAAAGTGGTACAAACTTTCACCTAGCGTTTTGTGGATTGTCAGTGTTTGGCTTTTTGTGATAGTACGGGGGGGGGGTGTTGACTGCCCAAGAGATTTCTGGAATCGTGGGGTTAGGGAGGAGAAAGACATATGTGCAAACAAACATATAAATACAGGTAGAAACAAAAGTATGAGAGTACAGATGAGTAAGCCAAAAAACATCTTTTAAGAAAAACTGTATGAAAAAGTAAAGCGACAAAGAGGAGAGGTGACAAAAGAATTATGAAAGAAAAATAATGACACCAAAGTGTTTTTACAGAAGTCAATTTGGCTTGAGGCAACAACAACTTTAACTGAATTGAAAAAGGAAAAATAAGGTACAGTGGCATTGGAAATTAATCATATTTAGAATTAATATAGGAAATAAGTTTCTATGACTGATAACATTTAAAACTGCAGTTTATTCATATTTTTTAAAACAAAATCTTTGATTATAAATCTGTAAATTGATTTTTGGCAAATACTTTTTTTGTGGATGCGTCTTTCCATAGTGAACAGTTTTATTATTTCAAATGCTTATAGAAATAGAGATAAAAAAAAAGATTTTGTACATTTTAGCATGTCATTAGTCACAATTTACAGGAAAAGTATAAAAATATATATTCAGAAAACTGACATATATTTTCTGTTATCAGTGAGTCTCTTGTTCTCTAACCATTTTGATAATCTCTTTGGAGAAAGAGTATTACTCGATGTAGATTTTTGTAGATGAGCTGGTATTTTTGTGTTGGCTGACTATAACCTATTGCAAAGTTTCTTGTTTATCTCATTTCAGGAGATAAAAAGTCTTACAAATTTTTGTTTTTAATTTACTCAAGCCAACAACAGTTGATTGAAAATTCTCTTTTTATGCCCTGGTCATCTCTTTTCTACAATTGTTTGTTTTATTTTAATATATATTTTTGCAGCGTTTCCCTGTCGTCTGTTACAAATATATATGTTGATCCTCTCTTTGTATAGTTTTTCTGTGACTTTAAATATATATTAGCTATTTTAGGGTAAGAGAAAACGTGTGTGAGAGTAAAAGAGAGAACTCACAAGAAATCATTCTTTAAATACAAAGAAATGTAGCATGGAATTAAATATTATTGAGCTAATCTTTTTTGGGATTTATATAGTGGTTCCTTAACATGTCCTGAAGATTATCTTTTGAATCAAGCCAAATAGTTAATAAGTATTACAGAATTAAAATACAAGTATGAAAACATTCACAAAATATATTTGTTTTTACAAAGGGATAAAAGACACAATCCATAAGGATCAAATGGAATACATTTTAACAGAAGGAGAAATAAAATCTATGGGCATCACATCAGTGACGTGCAGAAGTTTGGTGGTGTTTGGTGCCCTAAGACTCATGTGCTTGGGGCCTATAGGGCCAAATACTGAGAAATATGAGAAAGGAAGACATTTTTAATTTTTTTGAGATAACAATTTTTTTGTGTTTTTTTTATACAAATCCTACTATTTAACCCACAGTAAAAGGGAGAAAAAGAAATGGGTTCATACTTTTTTCAAGGGTACTTACACTAAAGTAAATGTGGCAAACTTGACAGGAATTCAAATTCAGCACTTCTGTTTCTCATTCTGAGCTTTTATCATTTAACCACTTGCACATCCATGTGATAGAGTAGGGCAAACCAGGCTCTTCAGCTTTGATTGGCAACCAGTCTAGTAGAAGTAATTTAAAACCGCATGCAGTAACACGCAAAGGTTTATCAATATTTGGTGATGCCTGGGACTATCTCCTTGATTGTATGCCCCTAAGACTCAAGTACTTGGGGCCTATAGGGCCAAGTACTGAGAAATATAAGAAAGGAAGACATTTGAAATATATAAAAGCTGATGAAAAATGAAATAAACACTTTATTCAAATTAAATATAAACTAAATTTTTATTTCGCTCTTTGACTGGATATCCACCTGATATGGATTCCTGGGACCATCACAACCTCTTCCCCACCTTCTGCAAACTACGCTATCACATGAAGAACAGATTTTAATATGATGAGGCTCTAAGCTGTGATAAGCAGGAGTAACCATATTAGTCCCTACCCTTGTAACAGCAATGTTTAACACATCGATTGCCACA